GGTGAGGATAACCATCCTGATGTCCTTATTGGGTTGTATAGCACAAGAGCAGATTGCCTAATAGCTGTATAGGAGCTCCGAGCTTCCAATGAAGCAACTTGGTGAAGTTTCTAAGGCTTGAATAGACAAATGCACTGCTGACGAGTACTAGTTGATGGTGGCCCAGTGCTGAGTTGGGAGACTGACTAGCTGGCATCTAGAAGTCTCACTGAACCAATGCTTCTGTAGCTATGCTCCACTTGCTGCTTAAGTGAAGTCTTTACTAGTGCTTGCTTCTGCTTATAAGCTTTCTTCTTAAGTTATCATTTATTTTTTCCAAAATAAGTTCTATTAAAGCTAACTTAAGTTTAAATATAGCTTGAAACTTTCTAGGAAACCTTTTTTGTTCAAGGAAACTTGTGCAACTTACACTTTCTGTAAAGTACTTAAAGCTAGATGGGTCTTTAATTGCTGACATAGCTTTGCTTATAAAGCTGATCTAAGTCCTTGTATTTCTAGGAGCCAAGACCAGGTCTGCTTCACTGAGCCAGTGCCTGCCAAAATCATCTGGGCCGTTGCACTCAGCAAGGAAAGTCAGTGAGACTAGAAGCAATCAGCTGTTGGGTAAAGTCAATTTTTTATTTGCACTCTTCAGTCCTTGCCCTCTCTTTAGAGAAAGAGTAGCTATGCTCTGTGACTTTGAAGTAATGGAGATGGTCAGTCTTTTCACTTGTAGTTCATAATATTGGAGAATGACTTGGCAGAAGCATTCATTACACATTTGTCTTATCCAAGGGTAACACAGGGCTCTAAATGTCCACTATCTGCTTGAAATGTCTGTCCTATGAGGACTCAAAACATGGAATAATGTCACCTAAGTGATGCTGTTACCTGCTTTCGAGATTGTATGCTTACAAGATGCAACACAGATTGGTTTTCTGAGGCTGGTGCTTAAGCAAGTTTCTGAATTTGCTCAACTTCTTGCTGTTTAGGATAATGCATGCCTGACTGTCCATTTCTGTCTGCTTTTTTCATTTTTAATTGTCATTTAGAATTACTAGCTTTTACCAGAATGAATCTAAAAAGCGGATCTGAATCCCCAGGCAAGTTCTAAAGCACAACTTTCTCTTTGCAAGCAAAATTACATTTGTATGACTGAGGTGCAAGGGGAACAAGTGCAAATCGCTTGATGCTGAAAGAGCTGCTGTAAGGTCATAGACTATTTGTGAAGAAAAGACGAATCCAAAAGGTGTTGTAAACATGTGCAGAAGCTTGTAAGACAACTTTTTCATTTAGAGCTAGCGATCCCAAAGAGCGCTTTCATTTTCATATGGCTCTGGAACAATACAGTAAGGGTAAATTAACCTCCTCAGTGTTTTCATTGATATTTAATTTTCTGTTTAATTTATTGACAGCATGTTTGAAAATGCTGTCCTTTTTACCTGTAAAAAAAAAAGGAGATTCAAGTAACAATGGTGCCACCCTAAATAAATGTTCTGTAAAGTTTGGTCCTGTGTTAACTGAGTAAAGTAAGAGTGCTACCTGGCTTTTGGGTTAATCTTGTAGTGCATTAAATTGCTTGGCTAAAGAGGAGTTCATTGTCCATTTTTCAAATAGCTTACCCTCATGTTGTCAAGCATTGCTGTCAAACATACTGTCAAGCATCGCATGAAAAGAGCTTGTGGGGAGGTTATGTGGAAAGATGCTCAAAGTACTGCCCCCTCACCCAGTCCCCAATAATGGCTTGAATATTAGTAGAGTTGTTTGAATTCTTACTACTTTTCACTTTCTTTCTGAAAAATCATAGGTACTCCTGGGAGAAATGGACCCCGCAGTCTATCTTCTTTTGGTTCTGGTGAGTTGCTTTGGATGTATCTTTATAAAGGTCTGTGGTGGAGCTTTAAAAAGTTACATAGGTAATATATTGTTTTCTTTCTTGGAAGAATAATTTTGTAGCAAGTCATGTCATAAACCATCACTGATTCCACTTTCCATGGATTTAGGGAATATGTTTTCTGGGGGTATCTTTCCCCCTCTCCTAATTTGGATCTTCTGCCTACCTAGCTCCTGCTAGTAGGTCTGTACTGAGTACAGTGGTCTGTACTGAGTATCTGTGACTGGCAGTTTCCAGTGAAGCATAGGCAAGTTATAACAGGAACTAAGGAACATATGGCAATGAAACTAGGTTGTAGTTTCTGCTGCTCAGCCACACTGAAATGATCAGTGAAACTCATGTTTTTAAAAACAGAATGATGCGGAATGACAGTGTGTTCTGGCTGGTTCATACTGGATGACCTTTGATTTTTTAGTGGTGGCAGTTTCTGTATATCACTGAGGACTGCACTTGAAATGTTCCAGCTATCTAAAGATATGTTGGTGTCTACTTGTATAGTGGGGGGAGAAGTCACAGTTGATCAGGTGGCAGATGGCACCCCATGATCTGGCAGGGATTTAAGGACTTCGTGTTGGTTTTGTTTTGTGTTTCTGCTAGTCAGGACACATGGTGCTAGTTTCTTCCTGGCAGGAGGTAGGAGTTTTCAGATGACTTTTATGAGGAAATGAGTTTGCCAACTCTCTTGGAAGGACTCAGAGTTTACTTGTTCCCCTCAGCGTTGGGGTGTACTTGTCCTGAACTGAAAGCTGCTTGTAATCAAAAGCACTTTGAAAATGTTGAATATCCATTGGAAAGCCCTGCGTCCCATAAGCCAAGAGCAGATGTCTTTCCTAAAGAGGTGCTCCAGCCAACCAGATGATATGAATTTACTTCTGGAATGACGGGGGTAAAGCAATTCTGATCCATTTGAAACTCTGGTGCTGTGGCAGTGTACTTTCAATTTCCCGTAGTTGTAACATGAGTCTTAGTGCTTTACTCTGGTCTTCAAGTGTCTGCATATCTACCAAGTTCTCTGCATAAGACCTGTTCTTAGTCAGAGTGCCTGTCAAACAGCAAATACATGGCTTGGCATAGGGCCTTAGTGTGTTTGCTGCTCTTGCTGATATGTCCTGAAATGAGTTTCATGAGCTCCTATATGTAGGTCTTCTATGTGAGTATAGAAAGTATGTTTAGAGCTTAATTGTGTTGATTAGTTGTTTTGAGGAGAGTTAACAATAAGCATCCAAGTGTATTTCTGGAATGGAAATTAAAAAAAAAAATTCCTCTTCCACTTTATGGTGATCTTAAAATAAAACTGTTTTTTCAAGACCTACTACAGCATTTTCATGTCATTTTCAGTGAAGAAAAAGCAACCAGTATCTATCTATCTTTTTTTTTTTTTCTCCTTTTCTCTAGTTTATTTTCCTTAGGATTTGACTGTTCCGAGCTGAAAAGAACATGGCCAGGTAGTTCTGAAGTGTTATATTTGATGCTGCAGAAAGGGATGTAACTGGAAATTTGCCATAAAACTTAAGGAATCTTTAGTGTTTTTTTTTTTTTTTTTTCTAAATTGAATAGTTGCAATTGAGTGAGTGTTTTCTTTAGCAATATTTTTTATGTTAAGATGTTAAGAATTGGATCCTGAAGTTGGGTGATATGTAAGACTTTCAATTCTGTAGCTTGTACAGAATATTATGTATGGCATGCAAAGCTTGTTTAAACATTTCCCATTGCTCACAATTGAGGATAGGTTTTAAAACATTAAAAACACTGTGTAGCTGTTTGGATGTTCTGCAGTACAATGTCTTTAAGAAAAGACAAAGGATATTCTTTAAAATGAACTGAAATAATACCAGCTAGCACCATGTGAAAGGATTCTTTTTTTTTTTTTTAGTAGCCTTGTGTTTATAGTAAAGCTTTTGTTCTAATGATTTTAGCTAATTAAATCTTTTGTTCTTAAATTACAGTGCTGTAGTTGACTATACATTTTAAAATTCATTCAGTGAAGAAATCCAAGCCTCATTTGTCTTGCCTGTGTGTTTTGGAGTCAAAACTGTAATTTCTTGCAACAGAGCTTTGATAATAAGTTGATTACCATTTTTTGTGCATTATCTGTCTAGCTTAGTTTTTAATGTTGCATTTAGCATTATTTTGTGGATGAAAAATATAAGGTATTTCTAGAATTTTTTTTCTGAATGATTATACTTTTATCCATTTCTGGTTACTTTCAGGCAGATATAAAGCTAGAATCTGGTTAGACATAAAAGAAGATGCAATTCACTGTTAATGCGTCTGTAGAGTTGAGGAAATGATGCACTTGGGGAGCTCTTCATGCCTTGTTCATGCTAAAATATTCCCCAGGCTACTTTTGTCTGAAATCTACTTTTTTCATGGGTGTTCTTCCAGTAGGCCAGATGATTTCTACAAGATGTGTTGCTTAGTGCTACAGTAGTGACATTACTGCTACAGCAAAACTTATGTATTGGGCAAAATATATTTGACTATGTGTATTCTTAAGCTGCTAACTTCAAACAAGAATGTATTTGTACCTGTGCTGTAATGTCTCAATGTAAATTCTGCAACTAAAATGACTGCCTTCTGTGAGATATAATTTCAAAGTAGATTTTTTCTGCCTTCCTGGTACAAGTGGGTGACCAAGCTGTAATACTTTGCAGTACATGGCAACTGCAGATGTGAAGGTTTAGGTCTCCCATCTTTACTGCGTGGTTAAAGTCAGTTACAAAAGAGTAACACCTGATAGTAAGCAAGCTGAGCAAAAGTAAATACCCTTGTTGTTGGCTACCTTGAGGAATGAAGCAAGCAAATACCTTCTGGGATGCAGTGACTCTGAAATGGGCATGGGGTTGTTATGGCAAAGCAGTTGCTCATGCTTCTAGCACAACCCTGGTGCTGGTACCCGTAAGGTGGTATAAGTTAAGAGCAACACAAATGTATTATCTCCCTTTCTACAGCATTACTGTCCATGTCCCTGCTTGAGCAGGGGTTTGACCTGAATGATCTCTGGAGGTCCCTTCCAACCTCAACCCTTCTGTGATTCTGTGTGTGATTATTTAGTAAGGAAGGCTAAAGCAACCATGAAAACTGAAGAGTAGGAAAACATGCTTGATTTATAAAAGGTAAGATTTAGTTTTCTCAGCCTCCTAAAGCAGAGATTTAAAGGCTCTCTATTGTAGTTTAGTCATCAGTAAGGAATATAGTACTGGGTGACAGAATAAGTTGAGTCAGGCATCTTACTGCAGATAGGGCAGTACTCAGTGAGTAAGTTACAATCGTAACAGTCCAATAATCTACTACTTGGAGTAGATTATTGCAGGTGGGTTCTGGATTCTGCCTTTCTGGTGAAATTCTTGCATTGGGATAATGTCCTTCATTTTCTAACATGATACTGTGGTTCAAGCCAAAATGCACAGGGGCTGACTCTAAGGTTCCTTTAGCAGGCCCTCCTATCCTGCCTCCTGTATGGCTGTCCACTTGGAGGAATTAGAGGGTTAGTATATGTTGATCCTTCTTATCTTGTGAATTCCTTCCTTTTTAAAAGGTATGTTGCCCTCAAAATTATTCTCGCTCTTAATGCATGGAAAACCAGGGATTAATCAAATAATGCTGTGCTTGATTCTTTGGCAGCAACAAAAATATTTTCATGTTTTAATTTGTCACGAATAAGTTTCTGCCTGAAAATGTGGAAGCTTTCTTTAAAAACTGTGAAGACTTTTTATGGATGTTGAGTAGTTATTTAACTGATGAAAGGGTTTGTTGAAGACCTCATGGTTCATCTTGAGCACTGCATGGCAAGTTACTCATGCAGGTTACCTGGTCAAGCAGCTTGTTAGCTGGGTTTGTGCTTTCATATGCAGCCTGAAGCTGTTAACATTTTTGTGGGTTGTAGAAGAAACTGCACTTGTGTGCAGGCTTGACAGGAGCTCTGCATATGTGAGTACAAGTGCTAGTATGGTCATAGGGCAAGTAGGATTGAGGAACTGTTCTGAGTTAAAAATAAGACGGGAAGAGTTTTGCTTCTGGTGGCAGCTCTGGCATAAACTGATCATGAAACAGTGGTGCTAAAAGAGCATGCAGAAAGCAAAGCCAACCACTTGTCTCAGTTCTTTGCCTGTACTCCTCTTCGGAATTCACTTTTAATAAACTTCTGCTCTACAACCAACTTCATATCAGGGTTGTCTCTAGAATGTAAAGATAGGCAGATCTCCTTTTTTATTATTATTATTTTTTATTATTATTCCCATTCCCTGCCCTCCTCTCCTTGGCAGGTACCAACCTTTGCAGGTGCAAGTTTACTGAAAGCAAAATGAATCCTCAGTTCAGAGGAAACTCATTTCACGTGAGAAATCTTAAGCTGCTTTGAAAAGATCTAATAAGCAAGACTCATTGCAAAGTTCTACAGGACAATCCCTGACAAATTATATTGCAATGCTGCCTAAATACTGCTTTGATGCTTTATGTATTTGGTAAAGAGTTCTGTGGTATCTTGCAGAATTTCATAAAAATGAAATTTCTGTTAAAATAATGCTGCTTTTCTTTTTGTATCTTGTAGCACCCTACTCTATAGGGTGTGGGAAACATGACTTTAGGAATAATTCAGGAAACTGGTGTGTGAGTGTCTTACAACATTAGAAAAATTGAAGATTACACTGAGAACCTTCTGCAGTAGTTTAAAATCAGGAACAATATGCTGCTTCCAGACAGCTCATGGGTTGTCTTGCACTTTATCACTCAGAATGTAGCAAACAGTCCTCAAGTGTCTATTGAGATGGGGTAAAGCAGGGAGGGTTTAGGTTCAGGTCTTCTGTGTTCCAGAAGTTGGTGTCTGAGCAGTTTTAGACAGGAATTTCGTTTTAGATTTATTGAAATGGAATTCTCAGCCTCATGTTAGGAAAGTCTTTGGCTTTAAGTAGGCTGGAGTTGCTTATTTCTTTATTCCCCTCCCTGCCCCCCAAGAGCCTGGA